TCAATAGAGAGTTTTTATTTTATTAGTAATCTCAAGAAAAGATTTAATTCCTTTTTTTTGCATTTCATTCCTAACTGCTTTTGAGTATTTTGTTAGTAAAAAGATTTGATTGGGCATATGCCCTTATTTTTCCAGTTCCATTTATAAAATGGGGTGTGTGTAATATTCATATTTTTAATTTTGATGTGATTTCACTACAAAAAGTCAGTGTAATAAACCAACAGAAATATAGTAAAAGTGTGTTCTGATCTGCCTGGTTCTGATCATCAAAATTATTAGAAGAATACAAGAATTTCAGGGCTTTGCAAAGAATATCTTATCCTTTTAGCATAATTTAAAGTTACTTTGCATCAAGATTATGAGATGTGGTGCCCCAGTTTGGCACACCAACTGGTCCTCGTGACACACTGCTATGGCTTCTAGCTATGAAATTCGTGTGAAAATTGAAATTAACCAGTGAGAATCTTCTCTGGAGGTGGTTTATGTAACTTTTTAAGAACTGCTTTTAGTTTCATATTGTTTCGAACAGTTCCTTAATTGCTGCTTCAAGTTGCTGCAGTTCCTTGCACCTGTGTTGGCTCTGGGAGTCTGGGAAAATGGCATTCCCTTATCCCCCAAGCCAGGAATCCCAGCTACTGGCCTTGAGAACAGCTCTCCGTGTACAAGACAACCTAGGTGAACCGGAAACCCTAAGGGTTTTCCCCCAAATCATCTCTGTCTTTTGACACTCCTTAAGCAACATATTTTATCAATATTAGTAACATTAAGTTGCACTCATTACAGGTTTTCACAGAACTCACATCTGTAATTATCATGTAATTAGCCTGAAGGCTCAGTCACACACTTCTCTGCATGATCTGAAAATCCACCCACTGTTTGTCCTTATGACACAACCTGAAGCTACGAAAATATTCCCAAGATAAAGCTTCATGGTACAGACTTTCTGGCTTAACCCTTGCAGAAAAGAGCATGTGAGGGCCAGAGTGCAAATTTAGATACATATTTTCTTCCTTACCTCACCTCATTTAGGCTTCAGTACAGGAACCCAATTCCTTAAGGGCGAAACTACTCTCTATGGGAACAGTGAGTTTATATTTTCATGATAATGAGCCATCCCTGGCAGCTCCCATCCTGATTAGAACTGTGGTATAGGGAGAAGAGCCTTTTTATTAGTCTGTGCTCCAGCTACTTTTTGCCTGCAGTAGTGGTGCTTGGTGCAGATTGCACCTTAAAAGTATTGTTCAGGTATTCACTTGAACAGATAATAATGAGAACTAAATACAGTTGAATTACTAAGGAGTAATTTTTAATAGGCTTGGCTAGCCGATAGTATAATATTTAGACTTTTGTCTCTAGAGGGGAGAGTACTACACAAATTTTACTGTAGATGAAAGTCAAAGAATTTGATTATTGGTCTTGTCCCAATTCCCATTTTCCCACATCAAGGAGTTTGGCAAAAGCCACAATCTTTTGTTAAGGCAGAACTAAATTTTAAACAATGAGGAAATTTCTGCTAAGAATCAAAGAATCTTGACAAAAGTAAGTAAGCTAGCTTAGACATGTCATTGTTGCTCTTATGGTGATAGAAATACTGTCTTCTCCATTCCTTACAGATGCTTCCAGTAGAGATCATATTTCATAATCCAAGACGAGTTTCAGTTTTATAATGTAGGGGCATTAAGAATTCTGTTTTATCCTTCCAGCATTTTGATTCTATCTGAACAACCTTTGGAAAGATTTCAAACAATTATCAGAAAAATGTTCTTTTACTATTTATCCCAACTTTTTGGCATTTAGAGACATTTCAGGAAACAAGGGAGGTACTCTTCTTTCTTCTTTCTATAATTCTCTTCAGGTTAATTCCCTCTTTCTATGTATTCTGTTTTTATCTTACTTTAAACGTTACTATGAATTTGTTGGATTTCTAAAACAACTTACAGTTGACGAAGTAATTCTGTTGTCTTTTTTTCAACACATTGTTAGTACTATCATTGCATTTAATGACTAGTTATTTGCTCTAGATCACATAGTATAATCCTATATCACACAAAGAGACTGTGAAATCCTGAACTAACTCTGTTCAGGCACCTCCAACTCTACAGTTTTAGAGTTTGCCCATGACAATTTAGAGATTATCTCAGTTATCTGGTCAGGGAGAACAGGAGGAAAATTTGGGTAGAGCACCAGCCATATCTGTAAGTCTCTTTCAGTGATAGTTAAGGCCTTTTTAGCCTGGGTCCAGTAACTTTGGAAAAGCAATACATTGAGGCTAGGCAAATCTTCATAGGACATTGGACACATTTAGACATAGGACAGAAAAACTTTGCTTAATGACCCCATCTTCCATTTCGATCAGTAGGAGTAAAGATGTGCCCAAAGAAATACTGAATTTCACTAAAAAGCCAATTCAGAAAACTGTTGATTAGAGTTTATCAACTAGCTAGAGATTATAAAATAGCTTCTACTAACCTGTCAGTGTAGACATGTTAGGATCACAACAACGCCTTGTTTCCAGTTTAGCACAATCAACAGCCATGCTAGCTGGGAGGGTACAAGAATGGGGAAAGTTGGATATATGCTGCAAAATAAGTTAATTCTTGAGGGTCCAAAAATGAAATCTTATTAAACAAAAATATATTAAGAAAGCTACGGCTATTAAATACGGATAGTCTTTGAATTACAAAAGTTCATTTGGTGACCAAAGTTATAATGACAAAATTCAGAAGTTTGACAACTGACTCATGGTTATGAAGGTTGCAATGTCCTGGGGTCATGTGATCATCTTTTGTGACTTTCTGACAAACAAAGTCAATAGGGAAGCCAGATTCATTCATCAGCCCATGGTACTAACTTAACAACTGCAGTGATTCACTTAACAACTGTGGCAAGAAAGGTCGTAAAATGAGGCAAAATTCATTGAACAGCTGTCTCACTTAGCAACAGAAATTTTGGGTTCAATTGGTTATACATTGAGGACTATCTATAGGTTTATGTAATCAATGTATCCACAGCCAGCATGAAATTTTGGTATGCAACCTTTAACTTGATTGGAAATTAATTTATTATATCTATCAATTAGCAATCATTGCTAAATTTGATTTGGAAATTTGAATTGAGTATAATGAAGGAATATTTGGTGTAAACTGTGTAAACTCTGCCCTGTTTTGGCCGGTAAAGTGCTGCAGGATGCCGTTCAGGCTGAAAATGGGGCACGCAGGGTGCTTCAGGAGGTGTCCGTCCCATCCCTCCCCCACTCCCTGCCCCCCCCGGCCCACAGGGAACTATAATGCTGATCTGGCTGTTGAAATCCAGTTTGACACCCCTGCCCTAGACAATATCACTTTGAAATATTGCATTTATTATGGGAATGATTGCTTAAGAAAATAAACAAAATGTAATTATGATAAAGATGTCTCTAAGATGGTATGAAATGAGCCCAAACAAAATAAAGTTATTGAAAGCCAAACAAAACTGATTTTATTAAGTTTGTTGAAAGGAACTAAATGCAAAAAAAAATCTGCCCCCAAATTTGTTGAGGGCAGTTAAAATTGATAATCTTGACCCATTTTTTCCCTTTGCAGATGTTTCCTTGTTATAGTTCCAAAGCCATATGGATTCAACATTTCAGATAGATCTAAGCATTTGCTTATGTTATTTTATGTTTATATATGACATAATGGAATTTTATTTTGAAAGTTCAGACATAAAAATACACTTGAATAAAAATGCACTTGAATAAAAAGACATCTGCTGGTTTGTGGAATTTATTATTAAACTTAGAATTTAGCAGTAGCAGTAGCAGTAATGCCAAGGTCACAACTTCACTAATGAACTTTCGAATGTGCTGCATGTTGTTTTTGGCTTTTACATTGTCAGTATTTTATTTATTGTAAAGAGGTCTCTGTTCTTCTTTCAAGTTATTGAAAGGAAGTTATTCAAAAGGAAATTATTTTAAATTGTCATGCAGAAGTATATGCTGAGAATATTGATTACAAACATTGTTGCCATGCTACTGAAATTTCAGACTGTCAAATGTGAAAAAGTATGCTGTTTTGTTTCTTCAACATACACATACAGCATGTACCCTGCTTTCCCAAAAATAAGACTTATTCCAAAAATAAGACCTACCATGTTTTTACACATGCATTTAATATAAGCCCAAAATAAGCCCTACATAAGCACCTGTGAAGCTGATCATCCACACATTCTTTCTAGTTGCTCATGGTGTCACCGACATAAGGTGAGGTGTTGGGGGGTGGAGCTGCTCCACTCTCCCTGCACCGGTTTACCATAGGCCCCTGAAGCCAGGACATACATGCCCCAATGATGTCTTGTGGCCGCGGCACCAGCGCATTGCTCGGCTTCCTGTTCCATTGGGGTTACGAGCAAGCAGAAGTGGGCTGGTGGCCAGGTTGGGTCCTGCTGAATGGGGCCATTGGTGAGGCAGGTATTGGGGCTTAGGTGACCTGGTTGCAGGGGCCCTGAGGTAAGCCAGTGTATGGTGCATGGGGTAGCTCCAACCCCTTTGGCTTGCGGTGCTGCACTGGGATGCCACACGGCCTCCTGACCCGCCGTGAACGAGCAAAAGAAGTGGGCCTCCGATACATGGGAAAAAAGTCATCACCCAAAAATAAGCCCTAGAGTTTATTTTGGAGCGCAAAAGAAAATAAGACCGGGTCTTATTTTCTGGGGAAAATGGGTATTTATGTTGTCTTTTATTGCAAAATTACATTTAAAACAGCATGATCTAAAAATTTCCTGAGATACGTTTTAAGAGTGTTACTATCCACTCATACTTCATTTAATAGCACAGCAGAATATTTCTTCTTTGGCAGATTCCAACTCTTTTGACAACATTATATTTTAGAAATATATAAGACCTCCTAAGTCTTCAATGATTCTAACCTGCTGTCTCTTTGAGCCTTTTTTGGACTACACTGTGTCGAAATAATGTTGAATCTTGTTTTTTTTCCGTTCTTCTTGTTTTGTACAATTCTCAGGGAAACCATCTGGACACACCGAGTTTTGTTTCTGGAGGAGAGAATTCTTAGTAATTGGACATCCTTCACCATTTGGAATGCTGGCAAACAGGGCAGAAAACTTTTTAGAAGTTTATCTCCAGCTAATCAGAACAAAGTAAGTTTGAACAAATATTTTACAAGTGGGCAATCACTTCAATAAACACTCATTCTTGTTGACATGTATTTTCAGAACCATTCTCTCCATGTATTTGTATGAAACATGGATTATTGTTTTTTATTCATTTTTATTTCAAAATGTTGTATTTGTAATACATATTACAAATGCACATACAAAACTGAACCTCAGAGTGTTGAACACAAAATTTATACTGATAATAAATCAGATAACTGAATATACTGGCTGGTTATTACTAACCAAATATTGTCCAGAAAATAGTTTAAGAGGAGCATCTGTAGAGCATGTGAAAATTTTGAATGCTGTAACATTATACATTAGTTGCCATTTGTTTCACTGATTGCTTCATCTTCTTTGAGAAAAATAGTGATGTATTATGAGTTGAGAAAAAAGGCTGTTAATTATATTTTATTTATTCCATACTTTATTGTATTAGCTATATGGTAATTAAATTATAAATAATAGCTCTTGAAAGCTACTGTATGTCCTAAGGCAGTGTATGGAAGAAGGTGATTTGTTAAGAAATAAACGGATACAGAGAGATATTTCTATTCTACCTTAATATATATCCAAGGTGGTTCAAAATAGCTGCCATTCAAATGATGAGATGTCATGCTTTTGCACAGGAAAGACCATTGTCTTAGTACAGGAAAAGAAAAATGTTGGTTTGATTAGCATTTTGTCTTACATTCCACAAGTGTTGCATACAAACTCAGGTTTATGAATCTTATTGAGTAGTTTAAGACCCCCTTCTTTGACTGTAAATAAAACAGTAAACAGATTATTGTCCATAAGAGCAGCTTGACTGCTGGACACATGCAGATGATTATTTCTTTTATACTGTAGCTGACAGGGTTTTCTACTCCAAAATGTTGAGTCATCTTAATCACTGGAGTGCAGTTTGCAAAATTGTTTGTTGCTATGGAAATTTCATCATTTTCTTCTATTGTTGTGCAACGTGCTTTGGAAAATCCCCTGACTGCTTTCATTTATCATGGTTTTCACGTGATGAAATTGTTTCAGAGTGGTGGGCAGTAGGGTAGGGTTTCAGACTTCAATCGAGGAAAGAGACTTCAGAAATGGAAAAACAGCAATCGGTCCCTGAAATTTCCTTTGCAGTTTGTTGTTTGTGAAGCTTTTTACTGATCAGTTGCAAGTGACCACTAGTATGAATCAAGGCAGTTTTCTTCGTTTCCTGGTTTGCAGTGGATTTGGTGATTCCTGATAAGTTGTTGTGTATTTTATAATAATGCAGACCCGAAACCCAAAATTACCGTAAATTAACAGAGGTAGCGTTGTAAGAATAGAATTATTCTTGGAGTTTCACCATCAGCCAAGTCAGCCTTTTTCTTTACTGTATTGCAGAATAGCAAAACCTTTCTTATTACTGGTGTGGCTGTAATTAGCTGAGATGCTCAGATTCTTCTAAGCTGACCTTTGCATAACATTTGCTTTGGCAACACTGTGGGCCAGAATATCAAGGTTGCAATTAAAGTTATTTCTTTTTTGCCTTGCTAGGCAATTGAAAAAACAGCTGGAAATATTAACCCAGTCAGTACAGAGTATTATTTTGAAACAATCTGAGAAAAGATGCTTTTGCCTCCCCCACTTTCCTAAATTACGGTTGATTTCAAGAGTGTGTACTCGGTCTTGATTTACTGATTGATATTAGTAGAATGTTTTCCTTGTAGCTTTTTAGCTAAGATATCAGCAGAATACTAAATTATCGGAAAAATCCAGGACGTGGTAGAAATACAGAACACAGAATAACAGAGTGGAAGGGACCATAGAGGTCTTGTAGTCCAACTCCCTGCTCAAGCAGGAGACCCATACCATGTCAGATAAATGACCATCCAATCCAGGGGTGGGTTCTACTTACCTTTACTACTGGTTCGCAATGGGGCTGCACGCGTGCTCTTCTGTGCAAGCGCAGAAGCTTCTGCAAATGCGCAGAGGCGTTCTGATGACGTTGGGTCGATAGGCGGAGCCTCCCGCTGTTTTTACTACCGGTTCTATAGAACCAGTGCGAACTAGGGGCAACCCACCACTGATCCAATCTTTTCTTGAAGGAGGCAAGTCATTTCCACTAATTAATTGTTGTCACTGTCAGAAATTTCTCCTTAGTGATTAGATCTCTCCTGATAAATTTCCATCCATTACTTCTTGTCTTGCCCTCAGGTGCTTTGGAGAATAGATTGACGTTTTCTCCTTTTCTTCTCTGACAGCCCCTTAAATTTTGGAAAGCTACTATCATGTCACCCCTAGTCTGTCTTTTCATTAGACTAGACATACCCAGTTCCTGCAACTGTTCATATGTTTTTGCCTCAGTCCCCTAATCATCTTTGTTGCTCTTCTCTGAACTCTTTCTAGAATCTCAGCACCTTTTTTGTGTTGTTGTGACTAAAACTGGACAAAATATTCCAAGTGTGGTCTTACCAAAGTAATATAAAGTGGTAGTAACACTTCACAATATTCAACCATATATGCTACAGCTTTAAGCCTAAAATTTCTTCTCAAAATAGGTGCACAAAACCACTTTTCTTCCTCCAAGCAGCAGAGACTCTAAACTTACTTTTCTTTATTCCCCAAACCTTCTATTCCTTAAAATATCTAAATATGTTTTATCATTCTTGCTCTTATTACCATCTTCCCTTCATCTCTTGAAATTGAGACTATAAATTAGATGGGGCAAGGTTCCTTCCTTCCTTCCTTCCTTCCTTCCTTCCTTCCTGAATTCCTGAATTCCTGAATTCCTGAATTCCTGAATTCCTGAATTCCTTCCTGAATTCCTGAATTCCATGATGTTCTTCTGTAGTATATGTTACTGGCAAAGGAAATTGCCTATTTTCCATTGACTAGGAAGAGTAACTAGATGCCTTCCAATTGATTTTGATTTCATATTGTCTTAATCCTAACTAGTATGGCCAATGGCAATGGGTTCTGAGTTTTGGAGAGCCAAACATTTAGAGAACACCAAAACACGTATCACTGGAAACATGGCGAAGCGGAGCTTATAGCAACAGTGCTCTTGCAGCCAGAACTCATTTCTAACATATGTTTGGCTTGTTTGGAATTGTTTCCATAAACTAATAGGTCTGATCTACTAACTAACTGGCTATCATCTGGTTTCACCAGCAATAGCTACTTGCTAATTTTGATAATTTGTTAGTGGGGAAAAAAAGTCAGATACAAGATAGGTGGTACTTGGTTTGGAAGTATCATGCATGGAAAGAATCTTAGAGTTGTAGTCGGTCACTGACTTAATGTAAATCAAGTGACATTTGGGTTAAAAAATGAAAATTTAATTGTAGGTTCTACCAGTAGTTTCCAAACCACAGAAAAGAAAACCTTCACACTATTCTATTTTGTTCAAAACAAAAGGAGAAACAAAGGGAAATATTAGGGAAAATGTCCAACCAGTATGATAAATAGCAATAGCACAGCAATAGCATTTAGACTTATATACCACTTCACAGTGCTTTACAGCCCTCTCTAAGTGTTTTACAGAATAAGCATCGTGCCCCCAACAATCTGGGCCCTCATTTTACTGACTTCGGAAGGATGGAAGGCTGAGTCAACCTTGAGTCAGTGAGAATCGAACTGCCAAACTGCTGGCAGCCAGCAGTCATCTAGGAAGATGAAGGATTGTCTTCACTGGATGTTTTCATAGAAAGCTGTTCAGTTATCTACAAGGGATGCTCTAATTCAGATTGCTATCCTTAGTAGGATATTGATGTCCTAAATGACTCCTCCCTGTAATTCTCTGAAAGGAAAATCCAAGGAGTTTAGGTTTAAATTCCTAGCTTTAAAGGGATTTGTTTTTTGAAAGGGTAAATGAGTATTATGCATATGTATTTGCTGAACAAGTATTTCTGTATTTGTACTTGTATTTTCATAATCTCTTCCACTCTTCTTCTCCTTCCTTCTTTCCCGTCCTTCCTTTTACAAATTTCCTGCTTTGAGTTGGGTCTTATTCTGGTTCTCCAATAGGAATTTTGCATAACTTTCTCCCATAGTTCTGAGTGAGTAGCCCAGTGCTTGGACAGACCCTACTCCCAGACTCCCGAGAAAAAGACCTTCTCTTTTCTAACATTTATCCAAGCCTGCAGAAGCTTTCCCAGAGGATTCCAGAATATCTCCCACATTGCATGTAAATGTGTATGTACAGTAAGGAGCCAACTGAAAAGGTTTGTCTACTAAAATACATCATATATGTGAGAGGGTTATGTGCTACTGTTTTTGGTACTCTGGAAAACAGCAATATCTGACTCATTGAGTTACATGTTTGCTTCTCAAATGTTAGGACAAGACTTAGGAATCTATTTTTTAGAAAGTTGATAACATTTCAAGGACCACCCTATTGGAACAACAGCCATTCTGTTATGGTTGCCATTCTGAATAGTTTTAAGAAACTGGGTTCCTAACTGTATCTTTTTTTCAAATTCAAGGGATTGACAGAGGATGGTTGTAGTATTTCTGCAAGACTGAAGCCGAACAGACCTTTTTTGTTTTAAAAAAAGCATCCAATTCATTTTGAGCTTGCAGCTGTAGAAAACCAATCTTTTATGGGATGCTTAAAGGTCTGCTTTCTTTATGCTTGTCTATCCAAGTTCAGTATCATGAATGTTAGAGTTACTTTTATGACTTCATTCTGCCATTCAAGTTGCAAAAGCAATTTTAATGAGAAAAGAAAAAAAAAAAAGGAAAAGAAAAATTCTATCCTTCAGTTGAACAAATGGTACTGCCACAATCACATGTGAAAATGTGGAACTTTGTACGGTTTTCTGTCCAGAAAATCTTACGCAACTAAATAGTTAAAATTTTGAGTTTAAAGAAATAATAAATATAAGCTATTCTAGTTCAGATATCATAAAATATGTCAGGAAAGCTGCTATTTTATCACCATTCACCTATTATAAGTTACATGTTGAAATACATTCACTTATGCAAACAGCCTCATATATATGCCCATATTTTATTGAACTTCATTTGAAAAGGAGAAGAAAGAGTGATATATAAAGATGTGGAAATTCAGGAAATTGCCCTTGCAAAACAAAGCATCATCATATTCCTTAATATATTGCTGACATAATGATTTCAAATATCTTAGCCTTAAAAATAATTTTTTTAAAAAAAACTTGTTTGGTTCTTTCTTGCTTTTCTATGATAAAGCAAAAGAAAGAATCCCTTCTTTTGTAGTTTGGATTCCCTTATTTGTGCTTACTGTCTTGAGAAATTTCAGAATATGACTGTGTGCAAGACCCACTTGAAGTGCATCTCCAATGTCAATTGCATTGAGGCAGAACAGAGAACAAAGGCTTGCTGTGTTACATTTGCATCGTTAGAATTATTTGTCCTGCTATTTTGGAATCTTTTTGGCTTGTATATCTCAATGATATGGGCTGGGTAGGTGCAGAAATTAGCACTTTTCCTTCATTCTTTCTTTCTACTCCTTAGACTAGCCATAAATTTAAGAGGGTTGTTCAATGCAAGGAGGATGAGTTTCCATTTCCCAAAGTTCTTTACTGAAGAAATGCTCGTTTGACCTTGGAAATCTCTGCATGTGATCAGATTCATAATACATTTCTGAGAAAGTGATCGATAGATGATGGTCTTGTGGTTCCAGAAGAAACTCTTCCATGATTCAAGAGACCTGCAATTATATTCCAATCTAAAACATTTTGCTGCAGGGAAACACAATCAAGAGGTGCCGTCGGCTAGACAATGCCGGCTGGCGACCCCCAGGAGGAGAGCCTTCTCTGTGGTGGCACCTACCCTTTGGAACAATCTACCCCGAGAGATACGAGTGATCTCCGACCTCTGGACTTTTCGTCGGGCCCTAAAAACTCATCTCTTTCAGTTAGCCGGTCTCTCTTGATTTTATGATTTTATGGTTGATTTTAAATTTTGATATGGATTTTAAATTGATAAATTTTAAACTATGGGCCAAATTTAATTATTTTAAATCTATTTTTAATCGTACTTTATGTATAAATGTTTTATTTTGGCTGTTCACCGCCCTGAGTCCGAAAGGAGAAGGGCGGTATAGAAATTTGAATAATAAATAAATAAATAAATAAAATAAAGAAGGTGCTGCTAAATATTGAGTTAGACTGTCATGTAATGAGCATAAGGAGACTGTACTAATACAGCAAAAATTGCACTATTTTCCCTTCATTACAAAGACTATTTATTTTTAAAGGATAAACTATATGATAGTTTGTATTTTCGTTACTAGTATCCCTAATAAAAAGTAATAATTTATGGGCATTTTGTACCTATTTAAGATTGTTTTGTGAGGTATTTTATGTAAATCATATAACTGCAGGCACAAGGGCCTGTTAATGGGGAGAAGTTTAAAAAAATTGTTAATTGCGATATTCTAAAAATGAGTTTAGAAGTGATATTCTAAGGTAAGTAGTTCATAAGAGTATCCTAGAAGACCAGATTTCTTCTGATTGCATAAACAATTAGGCACACATTTGTTTCCTGTTTTTGGATGCATACCACTTCTACTTTTTTAATTATTTCATTAAAACGTAAATAATGATGGTACAAAAATAAATAAAGGTGAGGGCCATCCATGTGGATATATGTTAGTATAGAAAGTATCTGAGATTGCTTGTTATTGCTGTAATGGTATCTGAATTATTAATCAGTTTCTTCAGTATTTTCAGTGATCTAAAGCAGTGGTCCCCAACCCCCGGTCCGCGGACCGGTGCCGGGCCGTGGAGTACCTGGCACCGGGCCGCGCAGCGGCCGGGGGACATGAACGCTGCAGCGCACGGCCCAGGAGCCTTTGCGCTGCAGCGTTCATGTCCCCCGGCCGCTTTTGCGCACTGGGCCGTGCGCAAAAGCTCCTGGGCTGTGGCCCCACCCCTGCGCGTGCTCAGCGGGCCGCGGTGTTAAAAAGGTTGGGGACCGCTGATCTAAAGTAAGAAAAACCTTAAAAATAGACATGTAGCATTTCTGATAATAAAATCCATGTTGCCTTTATCCTGTTTGTTCTCTCTCTCTCTCTCTCTCTCTCTCTCTCTCTCTCTCTCTCTCTCTCTCCCTCCCTCCCTCCCTCCCTCCCTCCCTCTCTCTCTCTCCCTCTCTCCATACTGTATATTATATTATGATATCACATTATATTAGATATATCATTATCATATCACATCTATATTATTATATTAATCATATATTTTGCAATTTTTGTTGTAATGTTCATTTTGTAAATGAAATGAAAAATCCTGTATGTAGATAACAGCTCAAACTGATCTCAAGTCCCATAAGATATGTGTGGGGTGTGTGTGTGTGGGTCCTCATTTAGCAATTGCCTTTGTTGTTGATTGTTTGGAGTTACAACGTTGATGAAAAAGTAACTTTATGACCAATCCTTGCATTTATGACCTTCACAGGTCTATAAAGCAAAGGAGAGCTGAAGTAAGATCATAAGCACGGTTTTGATTTCACTTACTAATTGCTTCATTTAATGACCAACTTATCAGTCCCAATTTTGGTCACTAAACAAGGACTATATATATATGTGTGTGTGTGGGTGTGTCTGTGTATATAAACAAGATTTGTTGACATTTTATAAGTTAATGTATCTTTTATTATATAATTTTTCCAATTGTGTCAGGTGTGATTCTTTGTTCTACACTATGGTTTTAATTGTTTTAATGGTTTTTTGCTGTTATAATTTTGATTACTTATATTTGTTACTATTTTAAGCTGTATGAGACAGCCTACACAAAATACAGTATGTGAGAAGAGCGGCTATATAAATTGAACAAATAAAATAAAGAAAGTACAGCTCTGCATTAAGTGGTCTACCTGCTAAATTGCATATATATAGCACACAGCCCAACCAACAGGTTCTTTATGCCCTTAACAATAGAGCAACAGACCATTTCTTTTTGCTTACCTCTCCCCTTTAGGTGACTGCATTTTGTGATGTGGATAAAAATAAAATCACTAAAGGATTTTACATATATGAAGAATCTAAGGTTGGTAATTTTTTTGGTTTAACTATTATTATTTGTGAAATGGTTCTTGTCATTATGTGAGTACGGTTAACACACAGCTGCAGCACTGTTAATATATTGGAATTGAAGATGTATTAGGAGTTAACATATTCCCTATGGAAAGCATATTTCATTCAGACATACAATTTCTATATAAATTGAAATTAAATATGCAAATTAGAGTATATTGTTAGATGCTGTATGGATCCCCTTATGTATTTATAAGCTGTCCTTTTGGATCCAAAATCTGGACTCAAATCAGGAAATATAGAAATACACAGTAGAATGGAAACTTGTTTTTGATTGAATAGTAATTCTTAATCCTAGAAACTCCAAAAGTGAGGCAGATTCAGAAAATTTCCAGATGTCAGATACATTCTACAGTACATTTTATAGAGCATGTTTTTATGCCCTATTTTTCATGTTTTATATTTTATAAATAGTTCATCTTTGTAATATAAAATTGGTTTGAGGTTAACAATTGGCTTAATGCAATTTACTGCATGGGTTCACAAAAAACCCTGTGATTTTGGTATGGCATCAAATGAATTGACCATAGAAGGGTTTTGGCCACTAGCTGGCACTCTTTATTCTCCTTATAAACCACAGTCATCTTAAACATACGTAAATAAAGCAGAAGAGAAAGGAGTCTTCAGAACAAATGAAAAACAAAACTTAAGTTTCCAAATAAAACATCACTTACTTGAAAATTTCATCCTGCTGTTTTTCTCTCCCCAAAAGAATATATGTATGGAAATAAAACAGTGTACAATAGAATAGAATAGAAGAGAATTGGGTTTTGGGTAATGTAAATTCCATTTTCTTCTACAATGCTAAAAAAATAGACAGTAAAAAAATGCTCCAGAGACTAAAGTCTGAATTCTGTTCCAGGAGGAGTGTAGGACTTTATGATCCTATTCAGAGGCCAAAGCAACATTAAAGGAAATTGGGTTGTCATTTGATTTGAGAAATAATGTAGAGTGGAATGAAGAGTTCTACAAGAGGTATTGTGAAGGAAGGCAATTTTTCCTTGGAAGCCAACCTCTTAACCTTTGGCAGTTAGGAGGCAATATTACAGGAAGAGAAGGATCTCTTTCTTTCAATTGTCTTTTCTAGAGACAAAATGGGGAAAAGGATTACCTTCTGCATCCAGGCCATGCATTGATCAAGTTCAGTATTTTTTTGCAAATTCATACCCCACAATGGAATTTCCAAAACTAGGTATTTTGCAACAGGATAATGATGTGAAAGCCATGAGTGGAAAAAAGGAGATTTGGTTAACCACATGCTAACAAGGAAGCAGTATAAAGGAAAACTGGCAACCACAGAACTATTTCAGAAACTATGCTTTTCATTGTAATAAGCTCAAAGGAAGAGCTATAGTACATCAAACTGACCAGGAAATGTACTGATTTCTGTTCAGGAAACTTCCAAACCCAGAATTCCAATTCTTCATTTCAAAGAAGCTTCCCCACCTTTAATTATTTGTGTGAAATTGGTAAGTACAACTTTAAGTCAAGTATGTGAAATCTACAATTTTTGCCACAGTACGAAAGTATATTTTAAATGATTATTGTGATCATGCCTTTCCTTATCCAAAATTAGAACAGGTTTTTAAGGAAAGGACCAAAATATGGACTGATTTGGGGATGGCCACATATTCAGAGTTCTTCTTGGTGATTTGACCCACCCACAGCCTTACCTTATAATTGTGCTCACTGAAGTCAAAGTACACAAATTTTAATGTTTGTAATTCTGTAATTATTTATATAAAACTGCATCTATTATTGTATATAAAGAATTCTGATCATTTGTTATTTATTTTCAAGGTAGTTTCAAGGTATCTGGTGCTCACTTTAGCAAAGTTCTTTGTTTCTAGATATACTGGTACTTTCCTACCTTACTAGCTCTTGCTCTTTACTTTATTAAAAGTAAAGCCAGAGCATCAAGCTTATTTTAATAAATCCCTTATCTTGTGAAGAGATGTGTCAAGTTTCTACATATATTAAAGATGCTAAAAAAGAAGACATCCAAGTCAGTGTAAGCATGGACTAAGAGTATAATTTATCCTGTGTGGTTTCTTTTTGTTGAATCAAAATTGGAAATGATTATGCAGTCTCTTTAATTAAGCACATGGTATCTTAATTTTCTCTTCAGTTGTTTATTTAACTAGTAACACTTCTGTTATTTCTTTGCATGTATGTCAGAGACAGTAATCTTTTTTGCTTTATCTAAGCTATTCTTCTATTGGGAACCTGAAAATAGGGCTTGTTTCATTAGCAGGCAAAATCAGTACAAAGTTTGGCCAGCCAAGGACTGCACCTCAGCACTAAATAGCCAGAGATACTGGTTGAGATGGAGGGCCACAGAAATAAATAAATATAGTGTTGACTCCTGGATAGTGTACCTATAACTGATAAATATATTTTTCAATTGATATCGGCAAGCATAATTTCATCAACTCTGGCAATAGAGAGGGATCAATAGATAGTATCAAAATGACTCTTCCAGTGAGATCTTTCATAGAAAGAGAGAGAAAGATTAGATAGATGGATGCATGCACGCATGGATGGATGGGTGCATGGATGGCCAGACAGCTAAAACATAAAAAAAAAGATAAACAAATGCAGGTTAATACCATATTTTTTGGAGTATAAAACACATTCCCCCCCCCCCAAAAAAGAGGCTGAAAATTAGGGTACACCTTATATACTGAATGTAGCCCTGCCCACCCACCAGCCCCCACCCTTTGGCCTCTGCCTCCCAGCAATTTGCCTCCTTACAGCAAACAGCCTGTTTCAGTTTCAACTTCAGCACAGCCTGATTAACACAAGCATCTGAGTGTCGGTTGGATCAGCCTCCTGACAATCAGCTGTTTCAGGCTGCAGGGATTGCCATAGTCTATTGCCACCTCCGCATGCCCCATTTTCTGCCCGTTCCGGTCGGCGGGGATCAGAATGGGCGTAAAATGGGGTGTGCAGAGGCCAAAAACGGGGCGTGTGGAGGCGGCAATAGGCTATGGCAATCCCTGCAGCCTGAAACAGCTGAAGCCGATCCAACTGACAATCAGCTGCTTGTGCTAAGCAGGCTGTGCTGAAACTGAAACGGGCTGTTTGCTGCAAGGAGGCAAATTGCTGGGAGGCAGAGACAGATTTTTTCCTCCTTATTTTCCTCCCCAAAAACTAGGTGTGTCTTATACTTCGGAGTGTCTTATACTCCGAAAAATACGATATATAATAAGAAATACAAACAGAAAAAAAAATAGAGAAATCTAAAAGAAATCTGCAAGAAAATAAAAAATTAAAAGAAAAATAGGAAAGAAAAGAAAAAAGATACAAAGATGTGGCTTCTGACATTATTCACAGTAGTTATAAGTACAATTATATTTTCTATAATTTGTTCAATCTAATCATCAAAGCCATAAATCACAAGCTCTTTTTTTTTTCTTTCATTTTTATTCAAAAGGTGCCTAAGGGGTTTCCAGTCATCAGTAAATATAGATATTGTCTTTTTTGCAATGGAGGTAGTTTATTCTTCTCATATTCTTCTCATATTCTTCATACTCTTCTATTAATTTATTCAATCTCTTTAATATCACAACATAATGTAAATTTCAACCCTTTTAACCACATATTTTCCATTGATCCATCTGTATATTATAACCAAAATTCTTAGCCTGTGTTCTCATACAGTCTTTAACCTGTTCTTCCAGTTTTCAAGTGTCAGCAAAAGCTTATACATTTTAGTAATTACATGTTTATCATCAGTGCACAATTATACTTCATATTGTCTTATTTTGCTCCATAACATAAGCCTTTTTGTCCATTTTAAACCTTTTAGATAACGGTAAAAACATTGTAAAATAATTGACAACTATATCTTTGCTTACTTCCTGTAAGAAGTGCCTGATGTCCCATGTATCTTTGCACAAGGGCAAGTCATTGTTATGTCACCAGCCTCTCCTCCCTTGCCAGTTACATAGACAACAGTAGAAGTAGAGAGTAGTGGAAAATAAATGAAGGCATGAAAGCATGTTTTTCCAAGACCCAGTTCCTTGAAGGGTGTTCACCTGTCATTTGTTTTGGCTACTTGTCAGTACTATCCCTTCCCTTTCCTACTAGCCATTTTGCCAGTTCCATACAACTTCTCCTTCAGACAGAAGAAGACAAGCTCCTAGTGGAAATAAGGAGGTTACGTTCCCCCAACTAATCCCCTTAAACTGTGATGGCGAACCAATGGAACGCGTGCCAGAGGTGGCATGCAAAGCCCTCTCTGTGGGCATATGCACTGTTGCCATCTGCTCTTCTGGTTTGTGGCATGCCGGCCAGCTGGTCTTTGTGGGCACCAGAGCACCGGAAAACGGCCAAAAACCAGGCCGTTTTCTGGCCATTTTCAGGGCAAAAACGGCCCGAAAAACAGCCTGAAAATGCCCCCCAAAATGCCCCCCAAAATAGGCATGCGCACTCCAGTCAGCTGGTCTTCGAACTTCCGGTGCTCAGGTGCGTGCAAAGACCAGCTAGCGTGCACACATGCATGTGCCAGAAATCCCAGCTGGTCTTCGGGTTTCTGGTACTTCGACGTGCATACATGCATGCACATTCCAGTTTGGGCACTCGGTGCCAAAAAGGTTCACCATCACTGCCCTAGAAGAAAAAGGTGCAATCTGTACAAGGAAAAAAAAGCATTTAATGAGGGAGAAAATAAAGGTAAATGACAGAGCAATCTCCAACTTGAAGCAAAACAATGCACCAACACAAAGGTAATTAAGGAGGAGGGATCAATTAATAGTTATTTTCCATTTCATTTCATGGAGTGTCTGCAAGTAGATCTGTTACTCTTGCATCTCGTAGCTACTGAAACACCCTCTCAAATGTACTCTTATAACAGCTCTGCTGAGAATATGTATCTTCATTTGCAAATTCCAGGAGCAAGTTCATTTTTATTTTAACTTGTTTTGTTGAGCCATGGTGGCGCAGTGGTTAGAGTGCAGTACTGCAGGCTACTTCTGCTGACTGCTGATTGCCAGCAGTTTGGCAGTTCAAGTCCCACCGGCTCAAGGTTGACTCAGCCTTCCATCCTTGCAAGGTAGGTAAAATGAGGACTCAGATTGTTTGGGAGCAAGATGCTGACTCTGTAAACCACTTAGAGAGGGCTGTAAAAGCACTGTGAAGCAGTATATAAATCTAAGTGCTATTGCTATTGAGGCTGTTAAATATGGCTTTGTAGGTGTGTGAGTTTCTGCTTACATGTTTCTGCTAAGCATATGCAGTCTCTCATTGCCATAGAACAATTACCCTTATGAAAACCCATCATCACGGTGATAATCTGAAGGAGATGATACCATCTTGGATGACCTGAAGCCAAGATGGATTGCAAGAACAGCTCACTAAATTGTAAAATCTAAAATTGGAGTGAGGCTTCAATTAGAGCATGACTTTGAGGAATTTGACCACCTTGTGCTTTGGCTACTCTGCAAAATCCATCACCCCTTTCAGGAATCGTTGACCTATCCTAGAGGATGTGCCCGGAAGCAGGAGATGGGCTTTCTTTAGCTAATACCGTTGGAAGGCTTGGCTATTTGCTTTGGAAACACTTTAAAACTTTGGGCAGACCAACCACCAACTGTGTAGCACACCTTCCATCCTGCGAGTTAGCTTGTTTTGGCATTCTCTTAAAAGTTTTACTGGTAAGACAAAATAACTGCTCAGTGTGTTCCTTACTGGGTATTTCAATAAAAACATACAACACATGCGGAAAAAGGTATCAGTTAGTCAAGCAAAGAATGTTGCTGTCCACATTTCATTGTTTAGGTTTCTGTAAAGCCTTGAGAAGAAAAGAAATCATTTGCAGTTGACAGTTCTTAATCTGGTGTAACTCGGCCCAACCACTGAGTTTTAATATCCTTTGTATTTGCTTGTATTTAGGAAGAGAAATATACATTTCCTGACCAACCATTGTATTCAGTTCTTTGTCCATGCGGTTGAACATATTTTATAGATTGCTATTCATACCGCAGGTTTTTGCAGTTAGTTTAGAGATTCCAGAACTTAATCTGGACTCAGTTCCCTTTGAAAGAGGTCACTGGAGGCTAGCTGTGTTTTAAAACATTTGCATTAACAAATGAACTGATAGGTGACATACATTTTTATCCTCCAAGTCTTTCAGTTACACAGAGGTCATTTTGGCTTCCTAACTGTCTGCTTTTACAGTATCATTTCCTCTCTTCCTTTACAGTTACAAGCTTTGCTAGCAAGAATGAGAAATCCCTGGTTCAAGCTTTAGTGCAATCATGAGTTCTCTCTTAGCTTTAGCTCACCAACTCTAATAGAATAATAATGGCTTTCCATGGGGAGTGCTATTAAGATTACTGAGAAGGTACAGTTGATGTGTTTTGAACACTTGGAAAAACCTGCATAAATACTAAATGTTATGTGTGCATAAAAGCAAAAGCAATAGGGTCTTTGTTCTCACTAATCTGAATGATGTATGCTCTGAGACTAATGCTGCTGCAAACATGAATTACTTGTGCTCTGAAATTAAAAGCTCAGAATAAATGCTGAAGTTGAGAATGATGTCACCCGATTTACTTGCTGATGAAGTATAGATGTGAGAGATACATTATCATAACCTTATATGGCAAAAGAGAGGCAAGTAGACACAAGGTTCCTCTTCATACATAAACTGGAGGATCACCTTTAACCAGAGTTAATAGTCCAACTGCTTGTTGAAAGGCTTCTTTCAATGAAGAAGCCATTCATTATGCAAAATCCATCAGACTAATATGTTAAGCTGTCACCACTATTATGCTGGCTAAGCTGCTTGGGAAAAAAAAATGCAGTTCCTGTGATTAAAAACGAAGTGTTATAACAGGGCTTTCAGGCTTTTTCTTCAAGGAGGTCAGTGTTTCACATCTATTGCTAAATAGCAAAATATCAGTTGGCTTTCACTAGTGGTTGGTAATGCCTAGAGTGAGTAAGAGTTTTAGCTTGCCACCTACGTGCATCATTTCCAGGATCAAATTCTCTATCTATTCCTTTTATTTCCCACACACGCATCCTGCTCTGAGGGTTCATTCTTCCCTACCTCACTTCCTAGAGCATTTCTCTACACAAAGCCTGTATCCAGGTATGTCCAACCAAACACCCTCCTGAATCCAAGTCTCGGGCTTCACTGTATAAGTCAGTCTTAGACTCAGCAGGTTGGATGAAAATCAGAAGCCACGATATGACATCTTAAGACATTAAGTGGTCAGTAGGGCTGTCCTTTGAAGCTATTAGGACCCCTTGGACATCTCCCTCTTTAATGAACATGCTTTGTTTCTAAGTGAGGATGAAGAGCCAAGATCAAGTTTAGCTGTGAGAAACCGTGGAATTGTTTTATAAATCCTCTCAAACATTAAGGTTGCTAATACATTTAAAAAAAACAAACCCTCAAGTCTGATCAGTTTTGAATTAGTACGGTTCTGTGCTTTGTTTTATTTTAAACTTCATCTGACAATTTCTAAAGGCTCTCTCCTGAATGCTTTAATTGTTGTTTTAGCCATTCAGTCATGTCCGACTCTTGGCAACTTTATAGGCAAGTGCTCTCCATGTTACTCTGTCAAGCACTGCTTCTTTCAAGTGTGTTGAATTGAGTAGGGGAATGAAATAATAGGCAATTATAATAAAAAGATAGCTGGAGTGGACCTCTTTTCTCTTCTGCTCATATAAGAAATACCTGTGTGGAAAGAGTTTAGTAAGCTTTGAAAATTGCATCATTGTGTCCAGGGGTGGTATTCACTACCGGTTCGCAAATGTGTGTTTGTGCGCCCTGTCCACGCATGCTCCTGGCCTTCCATGCATGTGCTTTGCTGGCACACGTGCCTTCCATGCATGCGCCCGGCCTCAAAAACGTGCCTAAGTAGGATGGCATAGAGCCAGGGCAAACCGGTCCGAAATGGCTGAATACCACCTCTGATTGTATCACCTTTGCTTATTTTCTTTGTGTTCCTACTAGTAACAAGATAAGAAGGGCAGCATAAATTCCCTAATCTAACATTTGCTAAGGGGAGGGGGAGCCATGGCTGCATACTAGAACAGCATTTCCCAAAAATATTCTAACCAAAAGGATTGCTTCCTTGGTTTCCCAGTTACTGACCAAAGAGCATCAGAAACAATGTTTTGTGGTGTCCTTGGTGCTTTGTGCTTGGTTGTTTTCTTGCAGAATTTTCACTACCCAACTAGATACTGATGACATTACCTATTTGGGTAATGAAACATCTGCAAGAAAACAACCAAGCTCAGAGAGCACCAAGGACCCTTTTTTTCAGCTCTGAAATACAAATATTCGCTTCTATCAGCACAGTTCTTTGTTTTTGACAGAATCAGTTGTCTGAGTTGCATGGTTATTGACCAGAGATGTCATTAGATTTTCTCCAGCTGCTCTCTGCTAGGAGCTCTTTCCTCTCTAAAAGTATCTTTGGCAAAGGGTCCCCTTTTTGATGTTATGACCAAGTCATAAGGTAATGTACCAAGGTTCGTTCAGTTGTTGTTATTTATATTCCCTAACTCTTAATGATAAAAGTTGGCAAAAGCCTCCAGACAATTTGGCTTGCTGTAGACACCCAAAATCCTCAGAGAGTTCAGAAGCCCATCTGCTATTTTGGGGCTTCAGAGCAAGGATGAAGGGATGTAGATGGGTATATTTTTCTTTCTCTAAAGCTCTTTTCATATTGATTCAATAAAATCCTTCTTGGCATTTCATGAGCCATTTGTCTCTGAAGCCTAAAAAAATCGAGTGGTTCCTACCCGGCTGAGGATGGCAACACAAGTCAAAAACTGGAATTAATTTCCCACCAGTTTGGGGAGTGGTCTTTGTACAAATATGCCAGACTGGATGCATATGTTACCTAACTTCTAAAAGAAAAAGAATTCTCTGGGGGAAAAAAAAAACAGGCCTCCTTGGAAGATGCAATCTAAAGGCTGAATTCTCCTGTGCTTAGACTAAGATTTAACAGTTGTCTTAAATCAGAAGAGGGGTGGCAAGTGTATCTCCTACAGCAAGTAACAAATGGGGTTCTGACAGCCTGTCTGAGCCAGGCTGTTACAGCTATTTGAGGCATTTGACTGCAATAAATCACTGTCATGGTCATCAGGTTTTCTGCAGAGCTCTTCCTTGCTAAAAATTAAGGGCCTTGTAATCTTTAGTCTTACCTGCTGCTTTCTTTATTGTTCAGATTATGATGCCCCTTGAATGTACTGTATTACGTGTTCCCTAAGGGCTGGCAGAAGTTAAAAGCATTAGCAATGCTAGTTGACTGTTCTGCACAGATGGGAGCATCCTGAGTCATCCAGGAAAAGGGAAAGAATAATAGCAGATTCTAAGTTATCACCTGTTTTTGGTCATACTCGCACAATGAGTCTAAGTTTGCAAAATAATAATAATAATAATAAAAACCCCAAAACTTGTTAACTTTAAAAAGAACCTAATCACAGAATGAAGATAAAATTACTTTTGCTCTGGCATTAATACCTTATACCAGGGGCAGCAGAAATAAGAAGCCTGCAACTTCTAGAGTTCCTTTTGTAGTCAGAATTAGCAACAGTTTCTGGCCTTGACTCCATGATACTTCGGCACTAGCGCTACCCGACTTCTAGGATTGATTGTGAAAAATATCATAGAACAGGGTGTCAAATTGGCGGGCCGGATGCCCACCCCAGCTCCATGAAGAGGGAAAAACGTTGTGATACGTCACGTGATGGCATTGTGACACAGCGAGTTTGACACCCGTGTCATAGAACAGACCACTTATGAGCAACTGCTTACATGCATATGTTCTATATGAATGAGCTGAATAAGAACCTATATGGTAGGGGGATAAGGGCACAGCCAGCTTCCACTATTACATGTAATGTATGAATAAGCCATTATCAGACTCTAGAATTGATTGTTAGAAACACTATTTATCCACTAGCAGTTCTTAGATAAAAAGGGAAGGAGGAGATCTCTGTTGCCCAAGGTTGGATTTGCACAACATTCTAAGATACCAAAACAAACCCTAACCAAGGTCAAAACTAACGAAGTTTCACTAGTAAAATGCAGCCCTTAGGTTTTTAACCAACCCAATTATCTATATAATACAACACTGGCAAAAAAAAAAAAAAAAAAAAAAAAAATAGAACTGAGAAAGAGGTAGAAAAAGATAAGCAAGCAAATATTGTCTCTTTTGCTGCAATGGTATAAATAAAACATTGTATATTATGATATTCAGGAATTTCTGCTGTAAGATAACTTTGGATTCAATTACAAAGTCTAAGCATGGCTTATTTCTCTATTTCTCTATAGGCACTGTGATTGCAGAGGTCTTCAGATGTATGATGTATCTTGGTGAAAAATTTTGATTGTGATCTTTCTCTTTGTTTCTGCAGGATCTCACAGATGGACAGTTTGAGGAAAATTTGAGCCTATTGAATTTGAAGGAAGGTGTGGATTACTATCATTTTAATTGAGTAGTGTGGTTATTGGCAAGCATTTCATCATGAAACATACTAGAGGAGACAATATTATTTTAGTCAAGATTCTTTTTCTCCATAATTCCTCTCAAAAGAAATATAGATGCCTGCAAATGTTAAACTATTATCTCAAGTCATAAAAATCAACTAGAGGTAGTATAACATCAAGCTAAGTGAATTGAAGTTTAGCTAGTTAAGAGTCATTCCATATGAATGTATGAGTGTAGCCAATTCACCTAAGAAAACTCTTTCCAGAATCAAATTCAGAAGGTGGCAACTGCAAATCTTTTCAGTATTTTATTCCCAAGAAATCCATATTGATGTGGCTGTAATATTTTGACAAGTTTCGATGCCACTTGATGAGATGTGGAAGGCACATCTTTAGTTACTGGGAAGCACATATGGATTAAGAGGTGAAAATGGTGGAAGAGCTATATGATTATAAGAAGCAAATCAACATGGAGACAAATCTAACTAATGGCACCTATTTTTTTTCCTCTTTTTCTTATTGGTGTCTGGAGTAGTCAGTCCATCTCTTTTTGGCAACCTAACTTCTCAAAATGCTGCAGAAGAATTTTAGTTACAATGTAGTAGAACAGTAATTTTCAAATTAAACATAAAAACTGTATGTGTGCATGATTAATATATCCTGCAAGAAAAAAATGTTCTTCAAATATATCCAGAATCTGTCTTGCCATTACTTAACATTATGTCTTGATGATATCCACCATAACCCTTGTGTATGGTTTATGAGATGGTACCAAAGACAGACACAGAATTCTGTTAGAATTGGGATTATTATTTTTAGAAAGCCTACACAAATCAGGTTTATCTCTTCTTTTCTAGAAATTATATTACTAGTTTGTTTTCAAATTTGGTGTTCTACTTCATATACAATTCTCTATTTGTACTGTACGCATACCTTTTTGAAATTGTGGCGTTTTGAAATTCCAGGGCCTTACTTAACCGTCCCAATTTCTCTTCCACAGTCACAAAAGCTGAAGTCTCTGGAAAGCTGCAGTTTGCTCCCTGTGGCTGCTACTCTTATCTGCTTTCTAGTTCTACTTCATGGTCACAACCTTAAGCCTCCTAAAGGCCCAGGCCTGAGCTCATTGTATTTGCCAACCCTAAATTGCTTCAGAGTCCTGCCTCCACCCCAATCTGCCTTCCCTCCTGGGCTCCACTAAAATTACCTTGTTGAACTAGTGGCCCTTTGGAAAAGCTCTCATTTTGACATTGTTTTGTTCCTTTTTGTTAAAAAGGTTAGCTTTCTGAGAAAGGTAGGGGACATCTGAAAGAGAAATGAGGGGGGAACATAGGCCTTCTCACTACTGCAGTCTTCCACTGGCCCCACAGCTGCCATTATTGCTTTTAAAAGTAGCTTCCTCCTCCCTGCTGCTAAATGGCACAGGCCTGCCTTCAAAAACCAACCTTTTTAGTGTGCAATGGAACACCTGACCCAGAACATTCCTCGACTTTGATGGGAAAAGGAGACGGCTCCTCTTTTCATAGCATCAGCTCCAGCTGCAATTCCCTCTCCTTGTAACTCGAGGTATGGACAATATGAAAGGATGGTTTCAACTTCAGCCCCAGTCAATGCTTTCTATGTTGGAAACATTTAATTCTCTTCGCAGCATTTTTGAGAGCAAAATGAACCCCTTATACATTTCATATGGTAATTTAACAATCTTCACTGCCAGAAATAATTGGACTTTTCCTCATATAAAGTCTGCAATGTTTTGTGATTCAGTAATTCATATGAAGGGATTAAAAAGCTACATGTTATAATATCCTGAGGCAGGTCTAAAAGATCAGCATGAGATAAACAAGGTTTACATTTAGAATATAGTTTATATCAAGAGGTTTGAAACCAGTCTCCATGATGGTCAGGAAATTAACTAGTCACTTAAGATACTTTTTCCAAAGGGCTGAGACCAGCTGTGGTAACATGAATAACTGTTATTTATGCGTTCTCTCCATCAGATGTTTATTGTTATGAATGTCTAAAAAACATTACATGCTTGTTTTAACTAAAATTAAATTTGTACAGAAGAAAAAAATTCTTGTTTACTTTTACACAAATTTATTTTTATCTTTACAATATTTCTTCATTTGTACAGCGATATACGAGAAAGAAAAAATACGTCAACAACTTTTAACAGAATACTTTTTACTAGGGCTATGCACCATTTGGAAAGTAATTTAAAAAAAATGGTGTGTAAATATGTGAGAGCATAAATATTTTATCTTTAACCTTTAAAGTAGGATTGCTATCCTCTTCAATTGCTAAGTGATTCTAAGGACAGAATTGCTTTAAAAAGTTATGCACAGTTTTACAATTCATTGTGTAAAGTACATTTTGAGAATCAAATCCATGTTCCTACTAATTTGTATCTGATTTTCCACTCATTATAAGACAAAACAAAAACAAACCTGTCTGCCCTTTAAAACTAGTTTTAATTTTGCCAACCAATGTTGCTTGCATTTTTCAGCTAGTATTTCCTTGTATATTTCTTTTTAGCATCAGAAATATTTCAATACACATTAAAAAAGGCAACATCCAGAAAGTCAGGATACTGTATCAAGTTTGAATGATAAATTATACTTCTGTTTAGAAAGGTGACAGATTTTCAGCTGGAATTAAACAATGTATCAGGGATGAAATCCTACCCATTTTATGCTCTTCTCAAATAGCAAGAATGCCCAGACTTCATTATATCATTTGATTGATATGTCAACTAGATAATTTATTCTGAAATGCCTTTTCTAAAGAATGAAGCTTCTGCTCTTCTGCAGATAGCTTTTGAAATGGTAGATTGGAGCTATTTATATAATGCATAACTTATTTGACCAAAGGTAACTTTGGTTATAATGAAATTTGGAGTGCTGTAATTTAATAAAGCCAAAAAAAGAGAGAGAGAACATGCAAGAAACTGCAGTTATATGAACTTTTCAAAACAATTTAATTTAATCTTCAAAAACACAAAATCACCAACGTATATATTATCTTTTAAAACAAAAAGATATTCTTTTAGAAAAAGAAGTTAAAGTAGTTTCTCATTTTTTAGCCTTTTCTTTTTAGCTTGATCAGTAAATACTGTTGCCCAAGTTGTTGAAAAACTGCCTGCTCCTTTGTGTCTATGGATTCAAAGCACTGTAATTTTCAATAATAATTGATTTCCAATTATGTGCTCTGCAGGAAAGACAGAGAAAATGAGATTAATTTCATGATATTGTCAAGAATACATATCAAAATAAATAAAAGTAACTCTTACTTATAAGATTTACAGAATATCGTAATTAATCTGTTAGTAACAGCTTTAAAATGTCAATCTACAGCTAAAGTTTCCTTCAGGCATCGTCCAATCCATAGTTTTGAACAATTTCCTATATTGACTTCTATTACTGAGTAGTGCACTGTGTTTATACTTGTGTTAATAGATGCAGTGCATCCAACAGCAGTTTGTGTATTCAGAAATTCATTTAATGAAGGGCTTGTTTTCAAATTGCTCAATATTTAAACCAATCATTCTGACATTTTCCCCCTTCGTTACTGAATAGAAATAGTATTTATGACTATATTCATGGATGCAATTATATACTCCAAAAGGTGAAAAAAATCTATTTCCAATGCTTTCTCTTTTTCCTCCTACAAGGAACCACATGCTCTTGGAAATTTGAGCTGGGTAGTGCGGCATACAGTTGCAAGAAAAAGTATGTGAACCCCTTGGGATTACGTGGAGTTTTGCATGAATTGGTCATAAAATGTCCTCTGAACTTCATCTAAGTCACAACAATAGAAAAACATAGTCTGCTTAAAATAATACTACACAAACATTAGATGTTGCCATGGTTTAATTGAACATAACATGTAAACATTCACAGTGCAGGGAGGAAAAAGTATGTGAGCCTTTAGCCTAATGACTTCTCCAAGAGCTAATTGGAGCCAGGAGTGAGCCAACCTTGACTCCAATCAGTGTGATGATATTGGATGTGTTGCTGACAGCTGTCCTGCCCTTTAAAAACACACACCTGTTTTGGGTTTACTGGTTTCAAGAAGCACTGTCTGATGTGAGCCATGCCTCGCAGAAAAGAGCTCACAGAAGACCTACGATCAAGAATTGTTGACTTGCATGAAGCTGGAAAGGGTTACAAAAGTATCTCCAAAAGCCTTGATGTTCATGTGTCCACGGTAAGACAGACTGTCTACAAATGGAGAAAGTTTAGCACTGTTGCTACTCTCCCTAGGCGTGGTCGTCCTGTAAAAATGACTGCAAGAGCACAGCGCAGAATGCTTCATGCGGTAAAGAAGAATCCTAGAGTGTCAGCTAAAGACCTACAGAAATCTCTGGCACATGCTAACATTTTTGTTGACACATCTACAATAAGGAAAACATTAAACAAGAATGGAGTACATGGGAGGACACCACGGAGGAAGCCATTGCTGTCCAAAAAAAAATATTGCAGCATGTTTGAAGTTTGCAAAAGAGCACCTGGATGTTCCATAGCACTACTGGCAAAATATACTGTGGACTGATGAAACCAAAATTGAGTTGTTTGGGAAGAACACAAAACACTATGTGTGGAGAAAAAAAGTCAGAGCACACCAACATCAAAACCTCATCCCCACTGTAAAACATCATGGTTTGGGGCTGCTTTGCTGCCTCAGGGCCTGGACGGATTGTTGTCATTGATGGGAAAATGAATTCCAGAATATATCAAGACATTTTGCAGGAAAACGTAGGACCATCTGTCCACCAACTGAAGCTCCGCAGAGGATGGGTGATGCAACAGGACAATAACCCAAAGCATACAAGTAATTCAACAAAAAACAGCACAGAATATGCCTTCTGGAGTGGCCCAGTCAGAGTCCTGACCTCAACCCGATTGAAATGCTGTGGCATGACCTTAAGAGAGCAATTCACACCAAACATCCCAAGAATATTGCTACACTGAAACAGTTTTGTGAAGAGGAGTGGTCCAAAATTACTCCAGATCGTTGTGCAGGTCTGATCTGCAACTACAGGAAACGTTTGGTTGAGGTTATTGCTGCCAAAGGAGGGTCAACCAGTTATTAAGTCCAAAGGTTCACATACTTTTTCCTCCCTGCACTGTGAATGTTTACATGTTATGTTCAATTAAACCATAGCAACAGCTAATGTTTGTGTAGTATTATTTTAAGCAGACTGTGTTTTTCTATTGTTGTGACTTAGATGAAGTTCAGAGCACATTTTATGACCAATTCATGCAAAACTCCATGTAATCCCATGGGGTTCACATACTTTTTCTTGCAACTGTATTTTCAAATATCCCTTCTGAAAAACAGAGTAATGGGAAATCAAATTGCTGTGAAAATTCTTCCAACTTGTGGAGAATGAAATCTCCAGTTAGAGCACAAAGACATACAGATGTACCTGTCACTCTTAAGATTAGAAAGCCACAAAAGATTTCCAGATTTTTTGATTCCAAAGACGTACAGTACAGTTTCAGGACTAAATATTTATGTTCCAATAAATCTTACTTACAAGGTTTATTTTCATTACTACTATATTGTCATTCAGCAAGGAATGAAAAAGACAGACAAGCTACCACATTCACAAGCCAGCAAACAGAATAATACCTGAAACTTATCTTTTCCAGTACTATTTCAGAGCCCACCCTAGGTACCAATTTACTACTACGTGCTTCTATTGATACTTCTGTCTGAATATAGATGTGCTTATTCAAAGTCAAAACATTAGCATTAATAATATCTTCCTTTAACAAGATGATTTATAAAAAAAACACATGTGGATATTTATCTAACCTAATACAGTTGAACACACAAACACATAAATACAAATCAAGAAGCAGGAGAATGCATTTATGGGATAGCTTCATTCTCTAGTTCAACACAAAACCTGTTTGACTTTTAGAAGGATGTTTCAGCAATTGCCTAAATACTTTCATATGCTTTTTCACAACACAGAGAAGTGTTGAATAGGCAGGTATAGCAACCTTAATCATATTCTTACCCACATGCAGGATTTCCTGCTATCAATTAGTAATACTGATAAATTTTAGCACATCTAGTCATTCTTATCACTACATTGCAGTAAGAATATTTTTGTAACCAGCTGTACTACTACAGCTCAACATGAGAAATGTGAAAACTTTTCAAATAACAGAACAGGGGAGGGACAGTGATAACACTTGTTTTCAATAGTTCTGCATATGCATGTGTTAAATAGGTCTGGGGTTTGTGTCAGCAAACTTGAGTTTTACCAAACTGTTTCCCAGAAATATTTATCAGGGCTTCATTGGTATTTTAAAACATTACCTTCACTACCAGTTGGGGCTTGGGCACTTTCATTAAGTCACAGAGGTAATTCCGCTGCTTCCTCAGAAACGGCAAGTCTGCATCCCTATTTGGAGACCAAAAAAAAGTATATATAAGTAGCCAATTCCATGCTGCTTTCCATGGTTTCTAGCATCACATCCATTTTCCTCAGTGGAAAACTATTTGTCAATTAATTGTGATTGCTATTAACAGTAAGAAAATTGGTATATCCACCCAAAATGCAGGGGAAAGGAAGATCATCTTTTAAAAAGCAAATTTCTGTTCTCTGAACCTTCTGAATAGCATTCACTGTATTTAGGGCAATGCCACTTTCTAGGCAGAATCAACTAGTTCCAACCCATTAGAGAAGCAAGTCTGCAAGTTCTGCTCCGAATTATTAGAGAATAAACAGGAGTAAGTCAAAATGCACAAACAAAGAACAGGCACAAATGGATGCAGGAGGTAAAGGGAGAGAAATTCCATTTCAAAACATTCAAACACAAATAATTTTGCTCTTTTTACTGCCATGATGGAATAAAAGACCTTTCTTCTTGCACTGGCATCAGGTTGCAAAACTACCTAGAGGAGTTGAAGAATCAGATAAACTATAGCTAAAAATGAAGCTAGATATAGATTACAGTCGTTGTTGGTTTAGTTTATAACCTGAAGTGATTCATGTCCTTATATCCTGACACCTATGTCCTATTCCATAGGCATTTATTCTATGGAATAAAGAGCAGCAGAACTTGTATTTCTTTTTCTGTTTTTCCCATTGTCTTCATCACTCATTTGGCTCTTTAATCTTAACCTACATCAGATTTATATCCACTTGAAGCAGTACTCTTATTCTAACAGCTGGGGAAATGATGTGAATTCTGTTTCATTGGATATGACAATTCTGTTATTTTCTAGTTGGAGGATATAATCTGGCTGCCTCTTTAAATGATGCAATAGGTTGGAAGAAGGCCAAAGAGTTCAACTCATTTTTAAAAATTATTTGGGGAGCTTCTGAAGGATTAAAAGCTCTTAAGGTTTTGTCTGGAATCCTGAGTTCACATCCCAATTTCTGAGCCAGTAAGATGGCAGGGAAGATTCTGGAACTAAACTGGATGATAAAAGATATGAAAAAGTATTTTAAAATAATTTTTCACCAGCCTTACACAGTATATGGATTCAGCTCCTGGCAGTTCTTCTATACATAGAAGTGGTGCTCTGGAAACAATCACTCACACTGATAATTCTTCACGCCCAGCTATGAAATCCAGGAAGAGGTATCATCCCCAAACTTTAAAAATCTGTCTTCTCTCCTCCCACCCCAAATCCCGAATAGGGTCTCTTTTCAATAGGAAAAGAGACTTTAAGCTCACCTACCTTCAACATTTCCATGACTTACATTAAAGGAAAAACTCTACATTAAACAGTTATGGCTTCATCTATAACAGGTCTTACAAAATGAAATTATTAGTCTTTGAGACGTGCAGGATTTTTATTTCCTGAAGAGGGACTATGCATCCTGAGCTAAATATATGACTCTACATATCAATAGTAAAAGAAATGCCAAGACAATGTAGGACGAGTCAGATAGTATTAGTCTTAGCTACCTACTACAATCAATCAAAACAAGTAAGTAAGCAAATAAATAAAATAGCTTTGTACTGAATTATATAATATATTGTATAGTAAGCTGTAAACTGCTACAGGTATCAGCTAAATTTCAAAGAGGTTTACAAACAAATCTTGTCACAAAGTGGTGACTTTGGTGTCACAAAGTTTGATTCACACACAACTTTGCAAATCCCCAATGCGTAATATATGTCGGGTATAGTCTTAAATGCTATAGGCTGGAAGGTAGCTGAAACTTACAAGTACATTTAAGATTAACTCACCAATTAGTGTCACTCAGAATTGTCAGGGCATTTTCTAAAACGTCAGATTCGGCAATATCACTGTAGGTTATCAGCATC